TAATGATAACAGAGAGTCGATAGTTGAACTAAATCGAATAAATTTTAATTTATTTACATCGATTTATTAAAATTTATTATTAGTAATTTATATTAAAAAAATAAATATATTCCTAAAAACTCTTTAAATAGAAATAGGTCACAGATCCCCCTGGAGTTGACATTGGAGGGATTTTTTTTATTTTTTACAAAAGCGGTTGAATAGGCGATATCACTTTCCTAACGCTACTAGCTAGATAAATAAACTATTATAGTCGTATCAAATTCTAGATATGCAGTTTTAACAGAATTTCATTAACAGAGTTCGTTAGCTTTAAAACAATATACATTTCAACCATACCCCTCATATTACCTCAGGAATATATATATATATATATATATATATATATATATATATATATATATATATTTTTTTTTTTTTTTTTTTTTTTTTTTCTGTAAATTAAAGCGAAAAGCAATTTGAAAGTAATTTGTGCGTGGAAAAGAGAGAGCCTCGAGCAATAACGTCCAACCATTTTCTCCGCCACCTTTCCAACTTCATTCATTAAATTAATTAATAGAGAACTTCCAATTACCGGCCTTCGTTAATTGAAAACTGTGGTGTACTTTAGTAGAAAAGTAAGTGTGTTTTAGTGAAATAGTGTCATGTGTTTAGTAGATAAGTGAAATGTACTTCCATGTCATATTTCACCACTGTGGTAATTTCGGCTAGGAAACAATATTTACTGTTACACTGTTGTAACTGTAAAAGTTCGCGTTCGTATTCCTTGAAAAAACTGAATGTATTATAGCTGCAAATATATACTGAAATCCGGCATTTTGGTACATTTTCATCTGATTTATTACGAAAATATTTGTTAAATAATTTCTGAATCGAGATAGAAAAAAAAGATGTTTGTTGAATCACACTTTCACTTACCACTCTACTTTCAATAAAACTTTAGAATTGAATAAGAAAATGTCACATTTTTGTATTTGTTCTGCAGAGACAATTTTCCAAAACTTATTAAATTATTTAATAAAAAAGTGGACCTGGTGCCCTATACCTTCGAGGAACAGAATTATAGGGTCAACCTTAAGACAACTAATATAAATTATAACAATACTGTAAATATATATATATATATATATATATACATAAAGTATATGTATACTATATATTTCTGATATATAAGGCAAAAAAAAAATATATATATATATATATTTTTCCATGAAAATTGTATGTGGTTTTTAAGGAAATGTTTAGTTCTCAATTATAATGAAATGAAATCAAATGAAAATAGATTTTTATTATCCTGGGAATGGTGTCCCTTTAGGACAAATTATAGATTCAGAGGAAATGCCTGTGTTGTCATAAAATTGAATAAAATATTTACAATTTTCATTAAAATTAAAATACTGGAAGAAAAATAACACAAAAACACTAAATACATACAGACATACAATAATTCATAATAATATGAAAATAAAATAACATAAGTAAATAAAATAATTTCTGGGGGAACTTAAAAAGTTCTCTTATCTACTTTTCATGATCATTCAGGTTGGGAAAGAAATAGGTGCTTAAAAAGGATAGATTTAAATGAGAAAACTGATTGTGCATGTCGGATATAGGGAGGGATGGTATTCCAGATGGATACAGCTTGAATTATATAGGATTTGTCAAACGCAGAAGAACGAGATATATAATATTAATAATAAACAATTATAATGTTTATTTCTTTAAAAAAACATAAAAGCAGATATTATAGATCAACAATTTAAACTCATTAATTTTTTGATACTCTTTTATTACTTTCTCTGACCTAATACCTAATAACATTATAATAATTAATAACATTATAATATATATATATTTTTTTTTAGCTTTATAACGGTTTATCATGCAGCTTATTTCTCTTTTAGTTCGTTATAATTGTTTTTAATAATTAATATTGTTCCATTTTGTATTACGTTAATAACGATGACCTGACATTTTTTATTAATAAATAAAGGTGCTTTGAAGGAAAGCATTTCTGAAATTCGGCAATTTGCCTGTGTGGAATTATTTCAAAGAGGTTATCTATTTGGACTCAGAGGTAGAAATGGTTAACGATAATCGATATTGTCGAAACATCGATATTTTTCCTGCGATATTTTACCATCGATAGTGTATACTTTTATATTATTGACTATCGATATCGTCCTTTCGGTATTTTAATACTTTAATTTGAAAATAAAAACTGATCCTACCGTTTTCGAAAAGTGCTAGAAATTATATATGATTCTGATCGTTAGAAAAAATATATACTCATCTTGCCAGTTTCATATAGAATGTATTGTCGACTAGCGACGGCCATCCCTACTTAGGAATTGAATAGTTGCGCTTTAAGTTAAATTGCATACGTGGAACCCTTCTCACTCAGATAACTCGATTTGCCCAAATTTGTTTGTTAGAACCTTCTCAAACTAAGTTTACAAATTGTCAAAGGAATCTATTTAGGTTGTAAATAAATTAGCATTGGGCTGAATCCGATCTATGAGTTAATGGAAAGCTTAAATTTGTTGAATGGAAATTTCTGAGATAAAACTGAGGATAATCAAGATGGACAGGAACTAGAAAATTAATTTACCTTACTAAGGAAGGTAGAAGAATTGATATTTCCATTAATTAATTTAAAGAGGAAAATAACATCTTTTGCAATGCTCATATGTGCTACAAAAGCAATATTTATATAAATAAATATATTTTTAAAATGGTTCGATAGTTGTTGGCTGATATTAATACCGATATTGGGCCTTCGATATCTCATCCCTACTCAGAGGATGTTGAAACATGGATTTCCGTTGAAAATTTGGATTCGAATTTTTTCAAGATCTCAAAACTCATTCATATTATGTATTTCATGTATAAATGAAAGTATTAAATCGTCACTTTATACCGTAGTTTATTTTAGTTTTTTTTTTTTACTTATGTAAATAAAAATTGTTAATAGCTTCATAAAAATTTACTAATGATCTAATTTCTATACAACAATTGGATCGTTTTAATCTAATTTATTCCCTAACGATTGAGTTATAGCAATCTTTTCATATTTAAATGGTTTAGTAAGAATACTTAAAAATTAATGTCCTTCGAAATCATCTTGCATAACATTGTTGCATTTATTCCGTAACACGGATTGTATTAAAAACCACACAGACTTCAAACCACAGTAGGAGTTTAAAAATTCAATGCATAATTTTCTTGGTTATATTCTTATATATTATAGATCTACCGAATAGCATATGAATGAAAACGATCAAATTTCATAGCTAAGTAATTTAAATATATATATCACATACATTTAAATTTCAACGATTTAAATGTTGAAAAAGACACTTTAATTTTTTTTTTAGAAGTTGATTCATTATTTTCATAGTGATTTTTAAAGGAAATAATTACTTATAAACCAGTAGTATTTGTTGTTTTGCTGTTTTTTTTTCATATAGTAATATTAAAGTTAGTTTGTTCTTTTTAATTGACTAGCAAATAATAATATTTTACTTATTTGCCTAATCATAATATTGGATTTTATTTTTATGATTACGTAAATTATTTTTTTCATTTACGATATATATTTATTTAATTAAAATGATAAGGTTATTATTTAGATTTCTATCCTCAACAAAACGAACAAAAAATCATCAAAATTGACTATTATTAACAATTATGATGCTTATTGGAATTAATACAATTGTATGAGTCGCTTATTTCCAAAATGTACTCTATAGATTTATTTTTTGTTGTAATTTTTTTGTTTTGATCGTGTAAAAATACAGTTTATTTCCAAAACCGGCTGCTTTTTCAAGAAGGTGCTGTAATTTTTGCATTTTACAAATTTTTTTGTCAGGAGCTTGTTTTTCCTTTTTATTTAAATGGAAATTAATTTTATTGTATAATTATTGTAATCAAAAAGTCAAATTTGTATGTTGCTATTTTAATTATCTTTTTCTTCTCGAATCATACTTAATTTTTTTCTCTCCTGACCGAATCCAATCAACCTTTCTTTTGTTTCAAAATCGGGCCAAAATAAGTTTCAGTGTTTTATTAGTATTGAAATAATAAATACTTTTAAAGAAATATATGCTACTAAAAGAATTTATTAAAAAAATATATTTGTTTTGATATTAAAATTGGAATACAAAATATAGTTTCTCGCATCTCTTGAAAATTTTTCAATAATGATTCGGGCTCACTTTGGAAATTAACGACTCGTATGAATTATTAGCTTGTGCCAGCTAATAGTCATTTTTTATTTATTTTTTTTATGGAATTTTTTTTTCATGAAATTAACTATTGCATAAAAATAAATATCCATTCAGTGAATATGATAAAATGGAATACAATGGTATGAATAGACATGTAGATAATCTACCCATTGGTAGCATTTTAATAAATTATCTAAATTAGGAGATCAAGAGGCCATCTTCTTTTCAGACGCCTGAAGGGGTTGTCAGGAACCGAAGACGATGCAAGGTTAGAAACGAGAGGGTTAGGTTGGTTCAGAAGTTTATTATGAAAGGGTAGGTATCTGGATTGGGCCAGATCTATTGATTATATAACAGTAAGTTCGTTATGGATGATTTTATTTGTGACAAAGTAGGATTTTGGATTGTAAGGATTAATAGTAAATAATAAAAGTGAAATTAGAATTCTGTAATATGCGTAATGAGAAATAATAGGATTCTTTTATTTATTTGTTTCTTATTTATTTCCATTAGGTATGATGGGAATCGTCAGTTTGGCGATAGTATATGAAATTTATAAACTATAAACTAGTACATTATTTGTGTTCCTAGTTCTAATTATATGTTTTGCTTTATGAATCTGCTTTTCTTTTTTTTTTTTTTTAATCACTGTTATGTGAAATATTTTGAGCATGCTAATAATATTGTTAGTATAATTAATTATTCAAATTATTTCATCAAATTTTTTTTCTTTACCATATAAATTAACAGTCGAATTTATCTTTATTTCAGATGCCTGGTTCAACCCTGCACGTCTTCATCCGCAAGGTAAGGATATTTGTTTTTTATTTTTGTTATTAAATATATTTTTTTACTAACTATCTCGATATTATAATTTATTGGTATGAATTAATCAATTTTTCATTAATTAGTGAAAAAATTCATAGTTGGTGGTGCAGACGGATCCCTTTTTATCAAATTATTAACATCAGTCTAAAATTTCGTAAATGAATATCTTATCTTAACCTACAAATTTTATTTACGAAAATTCTGAGAAATGGTGCGTTTTCCTATTAAATTAATCAATTTAATTAGGTAATAAAAATTATGAACACTCATTTGCTTCCCGCTTCAGTCGTAAGATAATTTCATCACAAAAAAAGGCGGCCTACAAAAGAATTAGGCCGTTTGGCCTATGAAACCTCGTTATTATGACATTTTGTTTAGATAAAAAATAAACTCTGAAATCTCAATTTTGTAATTTAAATAATTTTAATTTAGTTGACAGATACAGTTTAGCAACCTCAGGTGCAATTGTGATATTCATTACTGGCTATTAATAGATCACAATTGAGTCTATTCTTAGCAAACAAACAAATAGTTGTTTACACATTGTTGATGGTTCTCATCTTAATTAGGTATCATTATCATTATTATTATTATTTTTATTTTTTAAATTGTAGTTAGAAACATTATGTGCGAAATGTAAATTTTAATGTTAATTAAATTTGTGGAAAATGGTATCACAACAGTCTAAAGTTCAATATTACAATATAAAACAGTTTGATATATAAAATTTGAAAATATATTTGAAAATTTTATATAATACTGATATTTTGTTTGAAGTGGGTGGTTCATGGTAAGTTGTTTTAATTGGTTTAAAATTTGTTAATTTATTTTTATTTTTACGCCATATGTTCCGTTTAGACATTTCACAAATTATGAATAGCATAATTATCTAACTTAACTAAGCTGTATTAGAGCTAAGCCAAACTTTTTTTATTATAACTTACCTATAAACGCAATATATAACAAGAATAAATATTGCGATCGTGAAAATTTTCGGATTTTAAACGCAAATACATGTTTTGAGGTCTGCCGAGTCCAAATAACCCGCAAAACTATAGGTGTTTATCAGCCTAGCTCAAAAACGAAAAGTCGTATGAAAGTGAAATTGCATATTTAAGGTTTTTATGAGCTTTCGATGTCGCAGCAACATTTTTGTCAAAATCTATATATAATTTAAAAGTAAATTGATACTTAAAAAAAAAAATTAAAGTACTTAGTTAAGGCATTTAGTTTATTTTAGATGACCGAGTAAATTAGAAAGTAATAAAAGAAATAATAATAATAAAGAATACAATTCTTAACAAATTACTTACAATATTAACAATTAAGAATAATTCAATAATTTGCGTAACTTAAAATAGTGCCATTATCTTTTGTGCATGTGTAGACCACACGGGTTAATCAAACGAGCTTTATCATTGTAAAATGAGCGATTGGCGATAAAACGGGATCCAATATAGATATGATTAAAGTTACTGCAAAATTGAAATTGATAACGTTATCGATAAAATGAGACGAAGAAAAAAAGTATAAAATATTCCTTTGATTAATATCAAAATTATTCAAAAAATATATAAATATAGAATAATTCAAAATTATTCCTAATATTACTGTCATTTGCAAAGTAAATTAGAAATAATAATCTATTTATATTAAATTTTATCTTTATACATTATTTCTTAAAGATTTTTTTTTGTCGATACGACATATCTTCATCAATCCAAGGATTGAACCCTCATGTATGAAGATCTTCTCCAGGAGGGAACAACAGACACATTCCCCATAAATTTTAAGAAAAAAAAAGTTATGAAGGAAAAGATACTTTATTTGAGAATAAATTATAAAGTATACATTTTTTTGTAGTGATTGTACCCATGATTATTTGAAAGATTACTAAATCCCCAGAAAAACCATCAAATTCGGACTATTATTATTAAAACATAACCGAATTTTTAAAATAATAATTTTATTTTCATTGGTCGATAAGAAATACCGAAAATATTATTCCTTCATATTTTGTCATTTTTCCCACTGACCAATATTCTATGAGAATTATTTGCACAGACCAAGTATTGCACTTACCAAGTATAAATAAATTGATGATTCTATGATGGCGAAAATATAAAGAATAATTTTCAACTTTTTATGTCGGATTTAATTTGGTAAAAAAAAAAAAACTATCTTCACATATTATTATTAACTATTGGCTATTAACAAATCGATCCACAAGTTAATACAATTTTATGTAATTTGAAAAAATAAAATTCTATAATAATTAAAAAATCATCATAACTATGAACTATACCATCATCGCATTGACTCCAAGGTTTTTCCAAGGTGAATCTGACCTTGTGACGTGTATGGAGCTAAGTGTTCAGAGAAAGATTAAAGACTTAATTAACATAAATAAAAAAAAAAAAATTCATAACAATCTTTGGTGAGAAACAAATTAAAAAAATACTCGAAACAGAATTCATTATACAGGCGCGAACGGACATAACAGATGGAAACTAAAAAAAGTGTAAAAATTGAAAACTATTTTTATCGTAATGTATACTTAAATGAGCATTTATTCACTTTTCGAATTCATTTAAATCTAAAATTATAATTTCATTTGGAATTCAATAATGCTGTTCCATAAAAATTGCCGATCCATTCAAGAGCTTATCTTGCTTGAGAGATTATATATATATATATATAATCAGGTATAATTGTACTATTCTAGGGCTGTCTCGGGGAATGTGGGGCTGTTGGCTGGGTTACTAAAAATCTGTATAGTTGCCAATTACTTCGCTTAGGAACGAAAATTTCCTAAAAGAGAATAAAATCCAACTAAATATCAATAGACCCCCAAAAATACGACCTACATGAGCAGCGATATTACTAATTTGTCTATTTATGTATTTACATACCTTGAGTTTAGGAACGACCTGATGGAATTCATCGGAAGTTTAAAAATAAACGAAATATGTAAGAAAATAACTAATAAATTACGAAACAGAAACAAATATGGATAGAAAGTAAACAAAATATAAATATGTAAAGTACATTCAGAAATAGCTACACTGAGATTATAATAAGATTGCTTCCAGCGGATACTTTGACCCATATAGCCGATGCAACCACTGAGATGATTCAATTGCTGTATATAGGACGCACTGAATTCCATCTATGAGTTTAGGAGGAATTGTTCGATTGATTTTCTATGTCATCAATGAGCTCAGCGCTGAGTTTAGGAACGTGTCCTTCGTTTCAGGGAATTATTCAAATATATACTTATTTCGAAGAAAGATGTATAAATAAAATATATTAACAAAAAATAAGGAAATAATGATTATTTTCGGTGATTGAGAAAGAAGTACTCTGAAGTTTTATTATAATTAGCAATACAGGAGTTTTCTAATATATTTACTTATTTGTTAGTTTTATAAAGTCACTAATGAGTGACTGATTTTGTACGGCATTTGTTACAGAAGTAATCTATTTTTGGAATTTGTCAAAGTGAAAGTTCATATTTTCGCGGTTTGGTTGTTTACCTGTGATGCGGTCCAGCCAGCCAATGAGATTGGGATTAGCCGGTGACGTCACCGGCTCAGCTGTGTATCGACCCTGTGACATCTCTTGCCGCCATGTTGGCTTCCCCCCGCTCTCGTTTGAGCTATTATTATTAGATCGACGTTGAGCCTTTTTGCCAAGTTTCGGCTCCTAAAGCCCTTTCGTTTAGAAATAGTTCTCTCCAAAGCTTCTACAAGCCAGTGTTAGTTTTTTATTTTATTTAAAGGTTTGTAGCTCCGGGCTGTCTGGATACTTTTGTCTTATTATCATTCCTTTGTGTTGTGGACGTTTTTGTTTACACTGTTATCTGAAGAAATGGAGTTAAACAGGAAAGAATGTAAGTTTTTCGCTTAAAAATCACATAGCTTATATCCTTAAATTTAATTATTTCTATAAAATATTCAATGTCATCTCTTTATTTCGGAAATAAAAACTTAATTGCATTACCCAGCATTGTTTACAAACTTTCACTCGTTTTTTTATTTATTAAATTGTTTTTTATTTTAACTAATTTAGTTATTGATCACGTGAACATGTAGTGTAAAAAAAAAAAAAAAAAAAAGTGTACTAACAAAAATTTATAAAATAAAATTGTTTTATATATTTTAATTTTATACAGTATGTAGAATTTTATAAAATTCTTATAAAATTAATTCTATTGAAACCGAAGGCCTTTTTCGTTCCTTGAGCCAAGAAGCCAGTCGGAATATATATATAGGTAAAGACAATTATAGTTTTTCTAGGCCGCCAGTTTTATCGTATAATTTTCTCCTTTTTTTTCTAAATTCCGTTTTTGTACCTGTTTCTTTTTAATAGGGTACTTTAGAAAGTCACAATTAAAGATTCGTTAAGTTAAATGGAATAAACTGTTATTTTTTGATAAGGGCGTTACCACATGCATTGCTTCATAATTGATTACTATGATATTGTCATTGGGACCTTGAAAAAACGAGTTATCAGGTATTTGTCTTGTCTAGGTTTTTTATTTATTTAATTTTTTTTTGTTATATAACAAAATCTATTTTTTCCGAGATTTCTAAGTAAATATTATTTAAAAATTATATGAATTTTTAATTAAGATTTATTAAAAATATTTACTAGTTTACATACTTGATAAATGTTTATTTATTTGTTTTTAAATTATAATAATTGTAACATAAATAGTAAGATTATTCGTATTTTAATTTTGAATTAAACTAGAACTATTTCTCATTAGAGTGTAACTTTTTCAACAACGAAATAAAAACTTGTTATAATGCAAAAGAGTACTGGAATTTTATAATATTAATACAATAATATACATAAAATTTATAAAACAATTGATGAAATCATTATTACGTTTAAGTACGTAAGATTTCAAAGATATAAATGATTACATAACACCAATTCTAAGCAATTGTTCATCCACCACTTTGGCCTTGCTT